ATATGGGTGGGTATTTTTTGAATGGCTATTTTAAATAATCAATAAATAATTGGTTTTAATTAGCCCTAACTTAGTGATAAGATTGTGATTATAGTCAAATAAAAGGATATAATTTTCTTTTTGAAAGGCTAATATTAGCTATATATATAATTAAATGATAGTGGCTAACTATAAAAAATAGATTGATAAATAAAGTAAAGAAACAAAATAGGACTCTATTTGGTATCGCGTTAACTCATCCTTCAACAGGCATATGGTCGAACCCTAACCTCCATCCTCTGCTTGAGAGTTTACATTTTCATGTTCTATTTCATTCTTCGGTGGAGGCTCTTTTCACCATTTCCTCACGGTCCTTATTGATTCACACGGTATTTCACGTGCTCCATCTTACTCGGCTAAAAATGTAACCAGTGATGCTTTCGGCTATCAGACTCTACCATTCACCCAGAACTCCGTTTCACAATTTACGCTACTCCCATTTTGCTTGTGATACACAATACCATAATAGTATCGTAGACTTTCTCTTTGACGGAGTATCATTATTCTATTTACAAAATAAAAAGAAAATACTAAGGTAAAATTATCATGAAGCTGTCGACCAAAAGCGAACATTAAATAGGCAAAAATCTATACAGATATTAATGTCCAAAAGGGCCTTTACAAATTCCAGTTGTTGCCATCATTTTGGCTTTGGCTTGGCTCCACTTATAAATACACACACACACTCAATTTAATTGTATCCTAGAAGTTGAGTCAGTGGGCATCAGAAATTGCAAAATCAAGTGGGTCCAACCAACCCAATTTGATGATCATTTAATCAAATCTAATCAATTCATCTGATTCCCTTCCTTTTGCTGACTTTTTTTTTTTTTTTTTTATCTTTGACTGTAACTACTCCTTTCTTATTACCATTTTTCATGTTTTGGTGAAAGTTCTTGTCCATTTTCAATGCAAGTTTTGGGATGTGTCTATGTTGTTTTTGTTATTAATTATAGCTTTTGTTCATTTATATATAAGGGCAATAATGTCATAATATTAGTCCTGATTAATTTCACCGACTTCTTAGAGATTATTAAGTTACGAGAGTTTTGAATAATTTGAGTCCCAAAAAAACAATTTAAATAGATTTTTAATTGAACTGGTTGCAATCTTTTTGTCGATGAGAGTCTCATTAGAGTGTTTTTTACATCTGGTCAGTCATACACAGATTAAAATCATTCTCAATGAACCTAAAAGAAATGATTTCGATTTTTTGTTTTTTCGTTTAGTTTAGGTAGAAAATCAAATGCCTTGAGTGAGTGATTCGACATAATAACACAAAAGATAAAGAAATATTATAAATTTCTTCGTGATCATTCCGAGTTTGAAGTATTATTAATGTTAAATACTTATGTGAAATTATTAAAATATCTTGAAAATATATATAAAAAAAGCAGCATACATATATAAACATATTATTTTAATTTAAATAAATAGAAAACATTTTTTTTCTTAAAATATTAACGACACCAAATTCAAAATCCAGCCTGTGACTACCAAATACATGCAAAGAAAATATCGCGACAAGATACCAAATTCTCATATTTTTTAAGCGGATACGAACCGAGACGTTAACTGTGTTATCGTACGCACCCGTGCGTACGGTCTCTTAAACACACAGGTCGCTTTCAAACAACATTGACGCACGTTGCCAAATTCAAACGCTCCCGTGTCGGTAAACTAATAAGGCCTCCAGCTGGAAGGGGACCATTTGATGACACGTGTCAGCATATTCGCATCGACAGCTCATAAAAATTTGATTAAGGGACCACGCTGCACCCCCATCTTTTTCCCGGTTTCCAATTTTGCCCTTATGGCGCCTCGGAATCGCTGCAGCCAAAACTCACACGTTTTTCCGCGTGCCACGTCGGATTAGTGCGTGATGCCGTCACGTGATAGCCATGTCAGATACATGTCAAGGTCATGGGGGAACTTGTTTCTTTATGAATCACTCAAAAACTTTTATAGAGTGAATTTAATATTAATTACATTTCCACTTTTGTCCTTATCTTATTTTAAAAAAAAAAAAAATTTACGTTTAATAAATATACAGTATTACGTTATTTATATGTTTTAATTATAATAATTATAATTAATAATTTAAAGACTAATTATATATAAATCTTCAATTATTTTTCTTTAAATAATAATCCCACTATGATAATAATAAAAAATATTTTTTAAATACATGAAATTTAATATAATATTAAAAAAATTTGACAATATTAAATCTATTTAAAATCTAGTTTATGGATATAAATTTTTGTTATTGGTTATCTAAAAATATAGAATACGTAAATAATTTTGTGTAAAATTGACCTTTTTATGTTTAATGGATTGGTCCTGTCCAGTTTCTGTGGCCCATTAATACAAAATCAACTACATGGGCCTTGTGAAATAGTTTCTTGGTGACTTTGTTTTAGGTATCAATTTTTTGGGAGTTAAAAAAATAAATATATTATATGTTTTTATAAAAAAAAAAAAAAAATGTAAAAAGAACAAAACAAGGTAATAAGTAAACTACCTTTTGGTGGTCGAGTGGTTCAACAGGGCTTGGGTGTATTACTCAAGAGGTTTTGAGTTCGAGTCCCTCATCAGTTGCTAATAAGAGTAATCATTGAAGCTCTTATTCGGTCGGTAGTTCCAAGATCTCGAAGATTAGTTGAGGTTCATGTAAGTTAACCTGGACACCCTCGGTCATATAAAAAAAAAAAAGGTAATAAGTAGATATATAATGTAATACAACAAAATACTATTAAAGTTAGACTTGAACATATGGTTTTTGATGATATGAGTGATTATTTGTTTGACATTATGAACTAAAATTATAAATATAAGAAAATCAACTATTAAATAGTTATTGTCTCAGTGCATCATTTTACATTATGGAATAGAGGAAGAATGACGTTCGGAGAGTAGTCAAAATCACTTGATTAATATGAAGTTAATGGTTCGTTATGCATTCTCACTAATAATTTTTATTCTTTCTTCATTTCTTGGTAATTTCTTTCGTGTCCAGCAGTTTCTTATATTGTAATTTCTTTCATCTATGCTGAGAGTTAATAATTTCTGTCACTGTTCAACTAAGGAAATACTTAAGGGGTAAAGTAATGGCAGAAACTTGTTATTATGTAGTTGCTTTCTGCAGAAGCATGTAAATATGTTGTTTCTTTGAATGATAGAAGCATTTTTATACAAGTAAATGTACTTGAGGATTTCTTACAACATTTGATTTCAATAATATTCACTTTGTTTATATACATAAGCTTAATCTCTAGTAAATCCTCATAGTATAAATGTTAAAAGAAATTAAAAAAAAAAAAAAAAAAAAAGATTTTACACTCTTGGGCACTAGAGAATTTCGCCGAATTTCGGTTATACTTGATAAATTGATCTAGATTGGTAATTAATGAGCATGCACGAAATAGGATATCTGCCCAACACTATACTTTCTATTAAATATGACTTGCATAAATACGCTCAAATAAAGATCATATCACTAATGTAATAGAATTAAAAAGTGAAATCAATGTTTAATTATTTGAGAGAATGTATAGATCCTTAAGTCCAAATTCTTCTTAATCAGATCATTGACTTCATTTGTCCAATCAAAGTATAATATGGTACAAGTGAAATATAAGTTTAATTCTTTTCTTTTGATCTCCATTTACTTGCTCTTTACTCTTGCATCATATTCTTAATTTGAGGAATGAGACTTAAACAAAGTCAATGAAAATGAATTACCAAAAGGAATAAAGCAATATCCCATGCCTTAGCCACCTTTGAAGCATCCCAATCACTGTTAATACATCATATTGCGATTGCATGGCAACTGAGAAAATCAAGTGTTGGGCCAAGAATATTTGGTTCATATCATCTTTACGTTCCTTCTTTGAATTACAACTATTTATAAAGAATTGAAAGCATATCAACATTTTCACACTTACAAGCAAATCTTATATCTCACAATTCTCTCTGGCTCTTTTATCATTCAAACACTTACCATCTCTGATATCATGGCTGAAGCGATTGTTTTTGGTGTCTTGGAGCAGCTGAGTTCAATCATAGGTCAAGAAATACAACAGGAGCAATTGGCTTCATTTGTCCAATCAAGTGAAATATAAGTTTAATTCTGATCTCCAATTATTTGCTCTCCACTCTTGCATCAGATTCTTAATTTGAGAAATGGGACTAAAACAAAGCAATGACATGACTTTGAATAAAAGAAAAACCTTATATCAAAAGGAAATAAAGCTATATGCCATACCTTAACCACATTTAAAACATCATAATCACTTTTAAAGCATCACATTGTGATTGCTTGGTGATTGAGAAAATCAAAGTGTTGGGCCAAACATATTCGGTTCACATCATCTTTTACGTTCCTTCTTTCAATTACAACTATTTATAAAGAATTGAAAGCATATAAGCATTTTCACACTTACAAACAAATCTCATATCTCACAATTCTCTTTGGCTCTTTCATCATTCAAACACTTTCCATCTCTGATATCATGGCTGAAGCAATTGTTTCCGGTGTCTTGGGGCAGTTGAGTTCAATCATTGGTGAAGAAATAAAGCAGGAGGTGAAGCTAGTTGTTGGTGTCGACAATGAAGTCAAAAAGCTTAGGAGCAATCTTCAAGCTATTGAAGCTGTGCTCATTGATGTGGAGGAAAGACAAGTGAAGGAGAAAACTATAAGTTTTTGGTTAGATCGGCTCAAACACGCATCCTACGACATTGAAGATGTGTTGGATGAGTGGAACTACGCCATGTTGAAATAGCAGATTGAGGGAGTTGAATATGCTGTTGTTCCTAAGAAAAAGGTGTGTTTCTTCTTTCCCTCCTCTTTCTTTTCATTCAAACAAGTTAGTTTACGCCAAGTTATTTTACGTCATGACATTGCAATGAAAATAAAGAACATCAATGAAAATTTAGAGGTCATTATGAAACAAAAAGATATGTATAAGTTTAATGAGATTAGAAGTGTTGGAAAGTCCGAACGAATACAAAACACCTCATTTGTTGATGTGTCTGGTATATATGGTCGAGATGAGGATAAGAATACTTTACTGCGCATGTTGTGTGAGAGTAGCGAACAACACCCCCATATAATCTCTATTATAGGGATGAGGGGGATTGGTAAGACAACTATTGCTCAATTTGTTTTCAACAATAATGAGGTGATAAACAACTTTGATAAAGTAATGTGGGTGTGTGTGTTAGAATCTTTTGATGAATACAAGATAGCCAAAACAATCATTGAGACTCTAGAAGGTTCTACTCCAAATTTAGGTGCATTAGAATCACTTTTTCAGCGTATTAGTAGATCTATTTTTGGAAATAAATTTTTGCTTATCTTGGATGATGTGTGGTTAGATGACTACAAAACATGGGAACCATTCTATCATTGTCTAAAGAATGGTCTCCGTGGAAGTAAAAGTTTGATTACTACACGTAAGGAATCGGTGGCACGTATGATGGAATCAGTTGACATTATTGTTGTCAAAGTATTGCCCGATGAAGAATGTTGGTTGTTGTTTAGGCGATTAGCATTTTTTGGTAGATCTCAATAAGAGAGTGAAAATCTAGAAGAGATCGGCAAGAAAATTTTAAACAAGTGCAAGGGTTTGCCTCTTGCTGCAAAGACTATTGGTAGTCTTTTGCGATTTAAAAAAACCAAAGAAGAATGGCAAAATATCTTAGATAGTGATTTGTGGGAACTTGAAGAGTGTGAAAAGGGTATTTTTGGTCCTCTACTATTAAGCTATAATGATTTGCCTTTCAAGATAAAACGATGTTTCACATATTGTGTCATCTTTCCGAAGGACCATAACATAGAAAAAGATTATTTGATTAAATTATGGATGACTCATGATTATCTCAAAGAAGGAAATAAAGTAATGGAGATAGCTGGTCAAGAGTATTTTGATTACTTAGCATCACACTCATTCTTTCAAGAGTTTAACAAAGATGATGACAATAATATCAAAGGATGTAGGATGCATGATTTAGTGCATGACTTTGCCCAATTTCTGAGTAAGAATGAATGTATCTCGATAGAAGTTGATGGTCTTAAGGATCCAATCATAATCTCTTCTTATCATGAGCAAGTTTGTCACTTGATGGTAACAATTCATAATAAACAAGATTCATTCCTCATTCCATTCTTAGTCTTAGAAAGATTCGCAGTTTCCTATATAATTTTGCACATTCCAACGTGTCATTGGCTCCTAATATCTTACCAAAATTATTTGGTGAATTGACATGTTTAAAGGCATTAAATATTGGTACAAGGGAGAGTCGATATTTATCTTATTCATCTATGATGGATATGATTGGTAGGGTTGATGTGCTTCATGGGATTGATGATGAGACTGAAGACTTTCCTAAAGTTGATGTGATTGAAGACATTCCTAAAAAGATTGGAAAATTGATACATTTGAGATATGTTAATTTGATAGAACTGAAAATGAGAAAACTTCCTGAAGAATTATGTGGATTACATAATTTGCAAACTTTAGACATTACAGGTTGTAGAGAATTGGAGGAATTACCTCAAGGGATTGGAAAATTAATAAATCTAAGGCATCCAGAAAATTATAAGGTTCAATCTTTAAGATTCATGCCAATAGGAATTCAAAGATTGATTAATCTCCGAACCTTAAAAAAATTCGTTGTTGGTAATGACAATAAAACATGTAGCCTTGAAGGTTTGAAATACCTTAACATATTCGGAGAGTTGCGTTTATCAAAGTTGGGAAATGTATCAAATGAGGATGAAGCTAGAAGAACAGAGCTCAAGAATAAGAAAAACCTCCTTGATTTATCTCTGGATTTCGAAAAAGATGAAGGAGAGAGGACGAATGAGGATGATGAAACACTTCTTGAAATCTTACAACCACCTTTAAATTTGGAGAAATTACAGATAGGGCATTACAGAGGCAATACTATTTTGCCTAACTGGATGATGTCCTTAACCAAGCTCAAGGGCTTATCACTCTATAACTACATAAACTACAATTATTTTCCTCTCTTGGGAAAATTGCTATCCCTTGAATCTTTGGCTATAAGTCGGATGGACAATGTGAAAAGAGTTAGTAATGAATTTTTGAGAATAGAAAGTGATGGAACATCTTGATCATCTACTTTCTTCCCCAAATTGAAAACTCTTTGGTTTTCTAATATGAATGAATGGGAAGAGTGGGATTATGAAATTACAAGAAAGGGAGAAGAAGAAGATGGTATTATAATCATGCCAAAACTGGTTTCCTTGCAAATTATGTTTTGCCCCAAATTGAAGGCACTACCCAACCACCTTGTTTAGAATGCAACATTGAAAAAGAATATTGTGTACTGTCCTCTGCTAGGCTACGAAGGGAGGTAATATTTTTTTAATTTTTGTTTAAATAAAAGTATTTGTGATTGAATAATTAATGAATTAGAAGATATTGAAAAAAGGCATGTGTTTAAGTAAAATGATAATGATAGATTTAGTTAGAGGTAATTTAAATAATGGTCCAAATTGAAGAATTAGTAAATATAATATTAATACATATGTATTAATTTTAATTCACTAATTATATTCTTTGATATCATTTGAAATGAAAGGAGATTGGTCTCCTCTCCAGTTGTTTTAAGCAAAATAGAAATGATTAAATGAATGATTGAAATAGCATTGGATTTGTTGAATGATTATTTTATACTCCACTTGTTTTAACCAAATTAGTTGTTGTTTTATACATAATGCAATTATTCGGTATATATTTATATTTTTTGTAAAACTGAACTTTTAATGTTAAAAGAATGGATTGGCCCATTAATACAAAATAAGCTACATGGGCCTTCTGATAGAGAATTAGAGATCAATATTTGGGCCGTATATCTTAAGGGTGATAACTCCATTTTCCTGATTATGTAATATTCTTCTATTTGTACCTTCAAATTTCACCAAATAGTCATTGTTTCAGTGCAGCTTTTTGTTTTCTGGAAGAAGTAAATAATGGGTGTTAGCCATGAGAGTTGTCGGAAGAACTCAGTTAATGGTTGGTTATGAATTTCTCTTTTCTTTCTTCTTTTCTCATGTTTAAAACCACTTCACAACATTTATTTCTTTAATATGCAGAGCTGATTTACTATTTGGGCCACCTATCCTCAGAATTTACAATTTCATTCACCCATCGGTAGAGGAAATACTCCAGCTCAAAGCAATAAAGGACCAATTTTTATGGGTCAATGGCTGTAACTTCATTAAATCTATTTTGCCTGATGAAACAAGTGCTGAATCTTTTGGTTTTCCCATTTCTCGGTGAGATAGCATCAAATCTGTATTTCTATCTCCTACATGATGCTTGTATTAGCATTATTACTGTCATTAATACTTTTCATCATCTGATAATGTTAACGTCATGGTATTTTACTTTTTACTAAGGCATGCAAATCTCTATTCGATCGCAGTTCCAAATATCTACCTTAGAACAAATGTGGAAGAGAGGAAGGACAAATGTAGGACGGTATGTACTCAAAAGGACTGAAACGGTTGGTTCTGCTTTTTTAACTTCTCTGTTTTTTTGCTTCGTGTTTAAACTAGAAAGTACAGCACAGCATTATTAGTGGTACTGTAAATTTATTTAATAATTATATAGAACTGTTGGGTTGCTCTTTTGCCAGGGAGCCTTCTCAAATTATTGTGGATTCGCTCTACGAATTATTTTGATCATCGTTGAGATAGGTTTGTTTCCTTGGTTCTCTCTCTACTTAGCGGGGACATTGTAAAGCCTTGTTCTCTTTAGCTAATTAAACTTGATTTTGATATGTTCATTTTGATGCAGAGAGAGGCAAGTTTAAGATGTCATGAATTTGCTGAAGAACAAAGGTTTTATTATGATGTATTAAGAAGTTTAAGAATCAAGGTTTGTCATCAATTGTTAACGTTTTCTTGGTTCTTGTTGCTTTCTTTTTATTGATCCAAATTGTTACCCATATTAAGACGTTAGTTCTGTTTGAACTTATTAAAACCAGACATCAAATTTGGTCAACAGAACTTTGTATCATGCTGGAAAACAGTGACAGGCCAGTAAATATCTGATGTATCCGTGCCTTTTGGAGGTCATAATCCCACTTTTCATGCATCAATTTTCTGGTATTGTTTAAGCTCTTTTTAAATTTTAACTATTTTTCAAAACAGACCTTTAAGAAATTGATATCGAAAATATTTCAAAGAATCATGTCAAACTGCCCCGTTAAATAACTGTCAATGCCTTTCTCTTCTGCCAGGAAGGTTCCCCAGTTGCTCTGGATTCCCTCCATGAAACACTTGGATGAGTCACTGAGGTTTGTTTTCTCAAATTTAAATTGCCATTTACTTGTTAAGAAAACTTTACCTCTTTATGTTAGTTTTGATGCACTGAATTGAGTTTAAAAGGCCATGAAATTCATGAAGAATCAATGTTGAAATATGGTCAATACATATGAAAGAAGTTGGCAGAATGAAGTTGGTAATATCTACTATGAGATTAATCATATGATAATGTTTATGCGATTATTTTCTTTTTACTAAGGCATGCAAATTTCTTTTCGATCACAGTTTCACAATTGCTCAGACCCTGGTCTTCACATTTACTTGTAAGCTAGTATTTCATACTGATCCCCATGTCATTTCTTTAATATTCTGTTTATTTCTGGAACTGATCAACTGAGGAGATACTCCAGGGCCAAGCAATTAACGACAAGTTATTATCATTCAGTGGTAGAAATTTCATGTAGATACTTGTTCAAAAAGAATATTCTCCAGATGAAACAACAAGTGCTAAATCTTTTGGTTTCCACATTTACTTGGTGAGTAGCATCTCATCTATATTTCTATCTCCAAAGAGCTTCTTTGATAGAATAAATTTTGTCGACAGAATTTCTATCATGCTGGAAAAATTTGACAGACCTGGAAATATCTTCTAAAGCGATGTCCACACTCCATTTTTCATATATTAATCATCTGATATTGTTTATGCAATTTTTTTTCTTCTAAGCCATGCAAATTTATATTCAACCGCGGTTTCAGATTTCTACCATAGAACAAATATGGAACAGAGGAGGGATAAATGTAGGAGATTATGTACTCTTATGTACTCAAAAGGACTCAAATGGTTGGTTATCCTTTCTCACTTCTCTTTTTTGTCTTCATGTTTAAACTAGAAAGTACATCACAGCATTATTACTGGTTCTGTAAATTCTTTAATTTGTATTCAGAACTGATTTCTCTTACTGTTGGTTGCTCTTTTATCAGGGAGCTTCTCAAATTACAGTGGATGCCCTCTATGAAATCATTTGATAACTCATTGAGATTGGTTTGCTTTCTTGGTTATCTCTCTACCAAGTGGGGTCATTGAAAAGACATGTTCTTTCCAGCTAATTAAACTTGGTTTTGATATGTTCATTTTGGTGCAGTGAGCCAAGTTTAAGATGCCATGAATTTGCAGAAGAATCAAGGTTGAATTATGGTGTATTAAGAAGTTTAAGAATTAAGGTTTATCATCAATTGTTAATGTTTTCTTGGTTCTTGTATTCTTTTTCTTGACCATAAGATTCCTATGTAAAGACATTAGTTTTCTTTCAGCTTATTGAAACCAGGCATCAAATTCTCTGCAGAAATTTGCAGATTGAGGTATCATGGTGGAAAAAGTTGACAGACTTAGAAATATCATGTATTACCTATGGCTGTATATCTTAAGGTGATAACCCCACTTTCCTTACATCAATTTTCTGATAATGTTTAAGTGCTGTTTTTTCTTTTACACTAAGGCATGTAATGTTCTATTTATAGCTTCAAATTTCAACTAATAGTCATTGTTTCAGTTCAGCATTTTGTCTTCCGGAAGAAGGAAATAATGGGTGTTAGGAGAGTAGTAGGAAGAACTCAGTTAATGGTTGGTTATGAATTTCTCTTTTCTTTCTTCTTTTCTGATGTTTAAAAGTGCTTCACAACATTTGTTTTCTGATTCAGTTATTTTCTTTAATATGCAGAATTGATTTACTATTTGGACCACCTATCCTGAGAATATACAATTTCATTCACCGATCAATAGAGGAAATACCCCAGGTCAAAGCAATAAAGGTCCCGTGAATTGAGAAAATTATTACTACAAGAGAACTAAATTTTTAATTCTGACAACAAAATCTGTATATTATACTAAACATGACTTTTAGATTTTAAAAAATCTTTAAAAAGTTTCTATTTAAAGTTTCATATTTCATCAGAATATTTTCTGTTCCAGAGATGCATTTTTCGGCATGGAAGAGAGGAAGAATGGTTTATTGAGAGCTGCTTAACGAACTCAATTAATGGTTGGTTATGCTTTCTCAATGTTGCTCTCTGTTCTTTCTTTAATGCTTGATGTTCAATATGAAAGTATATCTGAAGCTGGTTCTGTTATTTCTTGATGGTTGCTGTGCTAAGAATTTCAATTTTCTGTTAATAGCTGTGGAGGATGAAATTGCATCATGCGCTGAAGAAAACTTGATTGAGGCACTTGTAAGCAAAAAGAAAATTTACAAGATGAAACAATTGCTCAAACCCTGGCCTACAAATTTACTTGGTAAGCCAGCATTTCATACTGTTTATTTCAATCTCCTCCTTTCATCTTGAAAAATATTTACTGTCTCAGTGAAGCATTTTGCTTTATGGAAGAGAGGAAGAATGGTACTAGGAAAGTAGTCGAAAGAAGTTAATTAATGGTTAGTTATGCTTTCTTAATGCCGCTCTCTATTCTTTCTGCCTTTCTTATTAATTAGAAAGCATATCACAATGTTATGTTAGTGGTTGAGCTATTTCTTTGACATATGTGCAGAATTTAAGATTGGCAGAGTAAATACCGGAGGCCATAGAAATTGGTCAAGGCACTTGTAACAAAAAGATAATCTGCCGGATGAAACAAGTGCTGACTCCCTGGTTTTCACATTTGCAATTCGGTGAGCTTCCATCATTAAGAGTCTGCAGGATTTTCAGGGCTATTGAGAGTAGCAAAACTCAAAACAAAGCAATTTCTGATACCAATGTCTAGAATAAGTTTTTGGGAAAATGATATGAGACACATTTTTAGATTCTGACAATATACAAGTTATATATATATTCAGTCAATCTTTCAT